CGAGCGCGTGACACACTGCACGTGTGCTCGTACGGGCCGTCACTTGGCTACCTTCACTCGGCAGCCACGGTCGGACCTGTACACACTGACCACTGAGTCCCCTCAGGTCGCTGCGTCTGCGTCTGCGTCCGCGTCAGGTCAGCTGTCTGCCCCCTGCTCGTGTCGCTCTCTGGCGCACGAACTGTCCTCTGGCACCACCGACTTGGCCACCCGTCTGTGCAGCGCCTTCGTGCCATGCACTCCCGGTACCTTGTCTCCGGTCTTCCCAGAGTCCTCCCTCCCCTCCCACCCTCGCCTGCTCCTCCCTGTCTTCCCTGCGCCGAGGGGTGGCAGCGCGCCGCTCCTCACTCCTCCTCGTTTTCCTCGACGACTGCTCCCTTGCAGACGCTCCACATGGACGTGTGGGGCCCAGCCCGCGTCCGTGGTCAGGGTCAGGAGAGGTACTTCCTGATAGTTGTTGACGACTACTCACGCTACACCACGGTCTTCCCCTTGCGCACCAAGGGTGAGGTCCCTGATGTCTTGATCCCTTGGATCCGCAGAGCCCGTCTCCAGCTCAGCGAGCGTTTCCACTCGGACTTTCCTGTCCTGCGCTTGCACTCTGACAGAGGTGGTGAGTTCTCCTCCGACCTCTTGGCAGCCTACTGTGCTGAGCACGGCATTGAGCAGTCGTTCACGCTTCCGGCCTCTCCACAGCAGAATGGGGTTGCGGAGCGCCGCATTGGCCTGGTCATGGAGGTCGCCCGTACCTCCTTGATCCATGCGGCTGCCCCCCACTTTCTGTGGCCGTTTGCGGTCCGGTACGCTGCGCATCAGCTCAACCTCTGGCCCCGTGTCTCCTTGCCGGAGACCTCGCCCACACTGCTGTGGACGGGGGAGGTTGGCGATGCGTCGCGTTTCCGGGTCTGGGGATCTCGAGCTTTTGTCTGCGATACGTCTGCGGACAAGCTCTCCTCTCGTGCTGTTCCCTGCGTCTTCCTCGGCTTTGTCCCGGACGCGCCTGGTTGGCAGTTTTACCACGCCACCTCGCGCCGAGTCTTGCCCTCTCAGGACGTCACTTTTGACGAGTCCGTCCCCTACTACCGTCTTTTCCCCTACCGCACTGCCCCGCTCCCCCTTCCGCCTCTCTTCCTCGCGCCAGGTGGTGCTGTCGTAGACCCCCTCCCCCCTCAGGGTGCCGCTCCCTCAGGTGTGTCTCAGGTAGACCCGGTCGAGCCTGTTGAGGTAGCTGTCGACTCTTGTCCTGCAGTGGGTGCGGAGCCTGGGGGTGCTGAGCCTGGGGGTGCGGAGCCTGGGGGTACTGAGCCTGGGGGTGCGGAGCCTGGGGGTGCGGAGCCTGGGGGTGCGGGGCCTGGGGGTGCGGAGCCTGGGGTTGCGGAGCCTAGGGGTGCTGAGCCTTGGGATGCGGAGCCTGTGGGTGCTGAGCCTGGGAGTACTGAGCCTGGGGGTGTTGAGCCGCAGAGTCCGGAGTCTAGGGGTTCTGAGTCTGGAGGTCGTGAGCCTGAGGGTCCTACACCTGACGGAGCCCTCTCCTAGGAGCAGCTGCGTGAGTGGTACTTCCAGTACTGCAGCCTCAGGAGAGGTACCTCTGGAGCCAGGCGTACTACTGGGACTGGTGCTAGTGCTTCTCCTCCTAGCCGGGAGCTCCCCTCCCGTGAGCGGATCCGTGAGTGGTACGAGCGGCGCTGCACTCTTCGAAGTGGCGCGCCTGGTGTCGCGGACCCCGCTGCTGCTGGTGGTGCTACTGGTGCTGGAGACTCTACTGGTTCTGCTGGTGCTGCGGCCCCAGAGGTTGGAGCTGTTTCTGGTGCTGCGGACCCGGGCGTTGGAGCTACGGCTGGTGCTGCGGACCCGTGCGCTAGTGCTGCTGCTGGTGCTCAGGACCCGGGCGTTGGAGCTGCTGCTGGTGCTGAGGACCGTGGAGCTGGTGCTGCTGCTAGTGCTGTGGAGTCGGGCGTTGGAGCTGCTGCTGGTGCGGAGGACCCTGGCGCTGGTGTCTCTGCTCGTTCTGGAGTCGCTGCACCGCAGCGGCCGTACTTCGTTCCGCTCCTTCAGCAGGTTCTTGGTCTCCCGCCTTCTCTCGGTCCTCCTCCTCCCTTAGAGTATCCATAGCTTGTCCCGTCACAGTTCTAGTTACAGCCCGCCTCCCCACTGCCTGCTCCTTCTCCCTACACTGGTCCTACTAGAGGTCTTGCTGAGCGTGGTGAGCCTGCGTCTCGCCCTGCGTCGCCTATCCATACTGCTCGCACTAGTGGTTGCGGTTCGCGTCAGCGTCCTCCTCCTATCCCTGGCACGCACCGGATGTCTCTGCGTCCGTCCACTGCTCCTCTGCGTGCCCCTTTGCCTTCTCCTCCTGAGTCCTCTCTTCCTGCTCTTCTCGACCCGGAGTCGGACTCTCTTCGTGCTGCCAGTCCTACTGTCACGCGTCTCCTTGCTACTGTCGTCACTGACCCTTCTTTTGAGTCCACTGCTGCGTCTGCCCTAGTTGCTGAGCTTGTCGACTTTGCGGCTCGCTGTCGTCTAGACTACGCTGCTAGTCTTGTCGCTGAGTCTGAGTCTGTCTGTCCTCCGTCCGTCGGGGGTGAGTGTGCCCTTGGCACGGACGTCCTTGAGGACAGGCAGGAGGAGTTTTAGTGCTTGGCCGCTGCTTCACCTCATCTCGTGTCCGTACTGCTTACCCCTGAGGGAGACCCGGATGCAATTGACATCCCGACTCCGCGCTCTTACGCGGAGGCGATAGAGGGTCCCTACTCTTCTCAGAGGCAGGCAGCTACGGATGCAGAGATGGCTTCCTGGAAGTCCACAAGCACCTACGTTGACGCTATCCCCCCTCCTGGGGCGAACATCGTCAGTGGCATGTGGATTTTCAGGGTGAAGCGGCCACCGGGTTCTCCACCTGTCTTCAAGGCGCGTTACGTGGCTCGTGGCTTCAGTCAGCGGCAGAGAGTTGACTTCTTTCAGACCTTCTCTCCCACCCCGAAGATGACCACTGTTCGGGTACTACTGCACGTAGCTGCTCACCGTGACTACGAGCTACACTCTCTTGACTTCAGCACTGCCTTCACGCAGGGCAGCCTGCACGAGGAGATCTGGCTGCGCCGCCCACTTGGCTTCACTGGGACTTTTCCTCCTGGCACCCAGTGGAGCCTCCGGCGGCCAGTCTACGGTCTCCGCCAGGCACCGCGTAAGTGGCACGACACACTGAAGACTACGCTTGCGGCTCTTGGGTTTGCTCCCTCTACTGCCGACCCGTCGCTGTTTCTACGCACCGACACTTCTCTGCCGCCGTTCTACATCCTCGTGTACGTCGACGACTTGGTCTTTGCCACTGCTGACACTGCTGGACTCGCCTACGTGAAGTCTGAGCTGTAGAAGAGACACACGTGCACAGACCTGGGTGAACTGCGCAGCTACCTTGGCTTGCAGATCACCCAGGACAGAGCACGCCGCACCATCACCTTGACTCAGTCACACATGGTGCAGCAGGTCCTTCAGCGCTTCGGCTTCACGTACTCCTCGCCTCAGACCACTCCTATGCCTACTCGCCACTCGCTCTCAGCTCTGCCTTCGGATGAGTCCGTAGAGTCGAGTGGCCCGTACCCAGAGCTTGTTGGCTGCCTCATGTACCTGATGACCTGCACACGACCTGACCTTGCATACCCTCTTAGCATTCTCGCACGCTATGTTGCTCCTAGGAGACACCAACCAGAGCACATGGCTGCAGCGAAGAGGGTGTTGTGCTACTTGTGCAGTACGTCGGGCATGGGGCTAGTGCTTGGAGGGCGGAGTCCAGTGGTCCTCACTGGTCACGCAGACGCTTCTTGGGCTGACGACCAGGCTACGCAGCGGTCGTCACAGGGTTACACCTTCAGCCTTGGTTCCGGCTCTGTTTCGTGGCGGGCTACTCGCTCGTCTTCTGTTCTCGGCTCCAGTTGTGAGGCTGAGATCTACGCAGGGGCCATGGCTGCTCAGGAGCTTCGCTGGCTCACCTACCTGCTGACCGACCTTGCAGAGCCGCCTCGTTCTCCTCCAGTCCTGTACGTAGACAACAAGGCCATGCTGACCTTGTGTCGAGAGCAGAGACTGGAGCACAGAATAAAGCACATTGCTCTCCGCTATTTCCTTGCTCGTGAGCTACAGTAGCGTGGTCAGTTGCGGCTTGCGTACATGGCCTCTGAGGCCAACACTGCTGATGTCTTCACCAAGGCACTTGCGCCTTGTGATCATCAGCGCTTCTGCACCCAGCTGGGTCTTGTACCTGTCTTGCCTCACTTGCTCACCTCTTGACCTTGCTTGTACTTTTACATATATGTATATATATATACCTGCTCTTGCTTGTCTAGCCTTATATATATGTACTCCTGCATGTGAAGTGGCCTTGTGGCCTTGAACTTGTGCTCGGAATGTGTGGTGACTTTGTGATCCACCCTGAGCTTGCTTTGCTTTGCTTTACTTGACTGGTCTTGTGACCCCTAGTTCTCCCCCACTTCGCCTATGGGGGTGTGTCAAACATTATATATGTTGTGCTTGTTTAGGCTACAGTGGGTTAGCCTATAGGGGGTACAAAATTTTAGGGTTAGGTACTTGTACTGATTTCACTGTTAGTTCAAGTTCGTTCATTTCAACAAGCACTAGCTGGCTCGTACGCACCGCGTTACCGTTTTGCATGTTTCGCGTATAAATGTTCGCTCATGCCTTCGCTCACATTTTGTATCCATTGACACTTAGTGCAATCCTCGCTACCTCGATTCATTGCACCCGTAACACCCATGCGTAAATCCTAATATATGGCCCTTACTATGAGCTGTCAACAATTGCTGCCCACGGCTCCACTTCTGGTTATGTTTGACATATGATTTATTTCAATCACAAACACATTTACAAGAAAAACGCATTAACCAAACAAACCATATGTAAAAAAAAGCAACAAGGCTATTTGCTGCCTTGTGGAAAACATTTACTAAATCTATAGAGATCGAGTTTGCAGCAAGTGAGCTGTGTCATGGAGATCTTGGGTCGCTTGAGAAGCTAGTGGGAGATGGTCCGTTGCTGACATTGAACGTGGAGAGGTGGTGGTGATGCTCAGGCCGATGCGACACCTCGTAATCCAAGTGAACAAATGCTCTCTCAATCTCCGGCAACCGCTCCAGCTTGTTCTGAAGCGCCTCGCCAATATCATGTGCCTCCTGGGGAAACCGGAAAATGGGAGTCAATCCAGTATGTGGCATCGGGGAGAAAAATAGAGGGAGATGTGCCCAGGCACACACTATCAACATTCGGGGTATAAACTGCGGAAGGAGATTTGGGAACAACGAGAGGCATGAAAACATTAATAGCAGTACCTCCTTAAGCAGCATTGCAAAATAAAATCAGTGGTGTACCTTGAGCGGCATATCTTCTGGCAACACAACATCCACTTCAGTGAAATAGGACGCGCCAAACGTATACGCCCGCACTGTATCAATGGCCAGGATTGCCCGGTGGTGGTTCCAGCACAGGTACGTCAGCTTCTGCAGGAACGCGGGCGGCGCTGTCCGTCCGGTTAAAGAGCGCACGTTCTCGCGCACTGTGTTGCCCCAATTGAACATGGTGTACAGGGCGAGCTGGTGGGTGGCAGGGAGAAGGGCGGGGGGAGCGGGTGGTGGAAGGGGGAGATGCGGGGTGAGTGACATTTGAGTCGACTCAACAGTCAAAGAGCGCACATTCTCGCGCACGGTGTTGCCCCAGTTGAACATGGTGTACAGGGCGAGCTGCATTGGGGGGAGGAGGGAAGGGGAAGCGATGGGCGGAGATGGGGAGGAATGAGGGGTAGATGAGGGGTGGGTGACATTTAAGTCGACTCGAGAGTCAAGGAGAGCTGTATTGTGGGGGGCCAGCTGAAGAGTCAAGGAGAGCACGGTGTTGCCCCAGTTGAACATGGTGTACAGGGCGAGCTGCATTGTGGGAAAGGAAAGGAGAGGAGGGGGGGAGAGGGGTGGGAAGGGGGAGGCGTAATGAACTGGCTTTGAGTTTACTTTTAACAGTCAAGGAGCGCACGTTCTCCAGCACTTGCGCCAGTTGAAATGTGTGTAACAGGCGAGCTGCATTGGAGCAGGGGGAGGGGGGGAAAGGCAGGCAGGGGCTGTGTGATAAGGCAGGCAGGGGCTGTGTGATAAGGCAGGCAGGGGCTGTGTGATAAGGCAGGCAGGGGCTGTGTGATAAGGCAGGCAGGGGCTGTGTGATAAGGCAGGCAGGGGCTGTGTGATAAGGCAGGCAGGGGCTGTGTGATAAGGCAGGCAGGGGCTGTGTGATAAGGCAGGCAGGCACACACGGAAAGGCAGGCAGGGGGTTCACCCAGCAAATCTCGAGGCCCGAGCAGACATGAGCTGTGGAAGACAAGAGTAGAGAGCCGAGCAGAAAGTATTGGAGCCAAGAAATGAAGGGTCAACTACATGAGGAAAGACGAGGAGCAGTTGGTAGAGGTACGGGGGAGTAGAGGAGAGTGGGAGGGAGGGAGGGACATACGAAGATGGCACCGACGGGGTCGATCCACCACGCGTACTCCCCTGCCAGCACTGCTGCAGCGAGGCGACATTTGAGGCGCCGCAAAAGCAATGATTAGTGGAGATACGATACGATACGAGTAAGAGAGCGAGACTCACAAAGATGGCACCGACGGGGTCGATCCACCACGCGTACTCCCCTGCCAGCACTGCTGCAGCGAGGCCCACGGTGTTGGTTACCACATCCATCATGTGATCCTGGTGGGTGGGTGGGGTGTGGGATGGGGGGTAAAGGTGTTAAGAAGCCCCCTGCTGCTGCTGCTGCTGCTGCTGCTGCTGCTGCTGCTGCTGCTGCTGCTGCAGCGAGGCCCACGGTGTTGGTTACCACATCCATCATGTGATCCTGGTGGGTGCATGGGATGGGGGGGATGGAGAGTGGTGTGTGAAGAGTATGGGGTATGTGGAGCACTGAACGACAATTGAGGCACATGAAAAAGTGACTCATGCCATGCCAGCCCTGCTGCAGCACAAGGACCTGGACACAAGCAACTCAAACCAAAACTCGATACGACAACGGGCAGTCTTCAGAAACAGCACGTGGCATGGAGCTAAAAAGAGCAGATTCCAAAAAATCTCAGGAGAGAAAGAAGTGTGTCATTGGAAAGATAAGAACACGTGAGGCAGTACATAAAAGTCGTGAGAGCAAAATCGAGCATTTCTTCTTCGTGATTTTTTTTGATTTTTTTTTTTTCATTTTCGAGCCATTTGTTGCGTTTACTGAGGCGCCTAAAACATACAACAATGAAAGTGGAACATGCAGCTTACGAGGGCATAGGCCTGAACGATATCATCGGAGAAGAGGCGGCAGTAGAGGAAGAGGATGAACTTGGTGAGAATGACCAACCCCATGATGCCCACATACACTTGCCACTTCTCCCCTAGGTCCGTCGAGTGGTTCTGATGGGGAATGGGGTGGTGGTTGGTCATAGTATTGGAAACATGGGTTATAGCTCCCCATGGAAACATGCATGGTCGATGCAAACCACACATACACATACACCCACCACTCACTAAGCATGCCAATCATGTGAATCACCTAGCCAGTAATAAACCACCAAGTCGCGACTCACCGACCCTGCTGCACCCACCAAGCCTGCAACTCCACCAAGCCTGCGACTCACCAAGCCTGCGACTCACCAAGCCTGCGACTCACCAAGCCTGCGACTCACCGAACCTGCGACACACCGAGTCTGAGATGCAACTCACCGAGTCTGTGAGCTTGCGGACTCCTTCTAGAAGGATCTGGAATCCAAGAGATGCCATGATGCACGCAAACACTATGATGCCCTGTTGGTACGGGGAGAGGGGGGAGGGATGGGCGCATGGCAGCATTGGGTACAAGGAGTGGAGGAAAGGCTCTGAAATGGAGGAGTGGAAAGGATGAGCTTGCGGACTCCTTCTAGAAAGAACTGGAATCCGAGAGATGCCATCATGCATGCAAACACTATGATGCCCTGTGGGGGGGTGGGGGAGGGGGAGAGGGGGTTGGGTTGGGGGGGGGGGGGTGTGTTGGTGGGTGTTGGGGTTGGCGGGGGGGAGGGGGAAGGTTGAGAGAGAGGAGGGAGGGATGATCGCATGGCAGCATTAAAACAGGGGGGATAGTTTGCGGGAGGTGAGGAGAATGGAGGAGCGGAGAGGAGGAGAGATGGCCATGATGCACGCACGCACACACGTCTATGCTGCGCTGTAGGTTGTGAGGCATGGGGGGGGGGGGGGGGGGGAAGGCATGGAGGGGTAGGCAGGTGCATGGCAGCATTGATACAGGAAGAGGCAGAGAGAGTCATTGTCACTGGTGTTTGACTCGACTCGACTCGACTCATACTCAGCTTTTGATTAGACAATTATCAGCTTCTGATGCATGGCTCATCTTTAATCGACTCACAGTAAATTAGCTCAGCAGTGCGCTGCATTGAAACTCTCACCAGCAGCGGCTGCATTGGAACTCTCACCGGCCAGCATTGGAACTCTGTGCAAAGCGGTGCAGTGCGGTACAATGCGGTCCAGTACGATCCAGTGCGGTCCAGTGCGGTCCAGATGGAAAGCGTACCAGGGGTTGCATCCGGCGCTTCCCGATGGGGTACTTGTAGGGGTTGGTGCGGCGCATGGTGCGCGCCGTGTACCAGAGGATGAACCCACACAGCAGGTCCAACAGCGATGCAGTGCAGCACAATGCGGTGCAGTGCGGTACAATGTGGTCCAATGCGGTCCAGTGCGGTTCAGTGCGGTACCATGCGGTGCTAAAACTCACCAATGGTTGCATGCGCCTCTTCCCAATGGGGTACTTGTAGGGGTTGGTGCGGCGCATGGTGCGCGCATGAACCCACACAGCAGGTCCAGCAACAAAGACAGGGACGACAGGCCAAGACAGTGCGGTGCAGTGCGGTGCTCATGGAAAACGTACCAGGGGCTGCATGCGCCGTTTCCCAATGGGGTACTTGTAGGGGTTGGTGCGGCGCATGGTGCGAGCTGTGTACCAGAGAATGAACCCACACAGCAGGTCCAACAGCGAGTCGAGCGTGGAAGCCAGGATGGCGAGACTGCCGCTGACGATGGACGCGATGATCTTCACTATGAAGAGGCACACGTTGGCGCCGTTGGATATCTGCACCGCCATGAACTCGTTCCGGTGCTGCCGCCGCGCCTCCCTCACCTCCTGCCAACGCCAACAGAGAGGAGAGGAGAAACAAGCACGACGATTCGATTCAAGCGCGCGCGCGCGCACACGCACAAACACGGAGAGAACCGGAAATTCTAACCGCCGCCACCATAATATATCCAGAGAATCCTTTCTACATCCTTTCTATATCCTTTCTATATCCTTTCTACATCCTTTCTATATCCTTTCTATATCCTTTCTACATCCTTTCTATATCCTTTCTATATCCTTTCTATATCCTTTCTCACGCTACACGAGTAAACAAGCTGGTGCGAAGCGGTGCAAGGCGCTGGTCATTGCAGGTGATGTAGCCTACGCAGGAACTAGGCGGAAGCACCACCTGCTCACTGAGCGTGTCTATCTCACTCACTGAATCCGTCACTGAACGACGCTGAGTGCATCAAACGGTACAATGAAGCCAGTGCAAAGCGGTGCGCAGCGGTGCAGGGCTCCCTGAGCAGGTGGAACATACACTGGGAGTGGGCGGCAACAGCTGCTCACTGAGCGCGTCCATCTCACTGAATCCGTCAATCATCTCGTTCTGCTGCTGGTAGTATCCGTCCACGGGGTTCCGCCCCGCCACTGCAGCGCGCGAGCGCGGGGAAGAGGAACAGGATGTGGCGCAAGCGTTGGGAGGAAGAAGATGCGAGTATGAGACCCATGATGATCGCAAACTCAGGAGGATGGATGTGACTCTTATGCTCTTCTATCGGACATGAGAAGCAGACCGCGGCGCCTTTAGAATAAATGCTCCGCTTAAGGCGCAAAAAAAAAAGGTGTGCATCGCTTTGAATTGAACCGGTGTATGAAAAAGCAACAACAACAAAAAAAATAAGGAGGGGGGGGGGGGGGGGGGGGGGGGGGGGGGGGGGGGGGGAAGGGGGGAGGGTCAAACGTTGAACCTCCGAGGGCAAGCGTTAGCTTTGAGGCGCCTCAAAAGTAATGAAAAAAGGTGTGCATCGCCTCGAACCGGTGGATGGAAGAAAGAAAGAAAGAAAGAAAGAAAGAAAGAAAGAAAGAAAGAAAGAAAGAAAGAAAGAAAGAAAGAAACACACACACGCACGCACGCACGCACACACACACACACACAAAAAACAGGGGGGGTTCAACCGCCGAACCTCCGAGGGCAAGCGTTAGCTCGCAGCAGCGCAACTCACGCCGCTTGAGTATTCGCGGCAGCCGGCCATGGCCGTCGTCGAGGTCGCGCCGCGCCGCCTCGAACTGGCTGTAGTCTAGCTGCCACTCCTCGCGCTCCCGCTGGCTCCCCGCGCGGCTCATCGACTCGAGCGATATTCCATCGGACGATACGTCATCCGCCGAAGTTTGTTCGCTAACCTCCCTGGAACCACCGCCTCTTCTGCTGCCTCTTCCTCCGCCGCCGCCTCCGCCTCCGCCTCCGCTTTCCCCGCCCCCGTCGGCATCTCCGCTTCCGCCCGGCTCCACGTCATGGTCGTCGGCGAAGCGGACGGAACTGGTGCGCTTGTGCGTGCTCTCTAATGGCCCGCTCTCCAATGCGCGCTTGTGCTTGTTCTCCGGTGACGTGGATTGGGTTACGCTGCGCGCCGCCGGAATCGCGGCAGCAAGCGGGTTTGTGACGGTACAGGACGTGACTTTAGGGGGAAGAATGGCTATTGTAACGGCGGTTGCTTGCGCGAGCGAGGCGGCAGGGGGTCTATCCATGGTAACTGAAATTTCTCCTGTATTCGCTGAAGAGTTGACACTAACTTCTAATGAGGTGTTAGAATTCCCTGCGACAACCGGTGCCCCGGTTGTTATCCCGCTTGATGCCATTCAAACTGCTTGTTCACAATGGTTGTATTATGGTGGTCTAGTTTCACCCGCATTTGATGCTGCAAAGCTCTAGGTAGAGTGAATGCAAGGAAAAGTTTGGCTTGGCAGTGAAAATGTAGTTGCTCGGCAGTGTTGTGTTGCGTGCGTGTGTTGAAGTGTGCAGGTCGCTGGGGGCTGAAATTTGACTCTCTTGCTGTGAGGGTTCGATGATGTAATGGGGAGTGATGATAGTTGTTATGCGAATAAAGACGAAAACAAAATCCCTTGTTACGAGAATGAGGAGGCCGTGTCACGAAATGACGAAATCTCGAGTGCTGTAAAACCGGTTACTCTTGCCTGATAACTCTTCTCCCATTCACCGCGGTTCCATGTCAGCTTGAGCGTGTTCTTGCGTGGTTCCCCCATGCTCGCCTGTAAATTTGCGCCTCTGCGCGGCGCACTCGCTTGGCACACAAGTTTACCCGCAATGATTCGCTCGGCTGATGCTGTGCTGGCATTGCTGCCCTCCCTGCCCAAGCTGTGTGTGGGCAGACAACATAGGTGAAGCACATACACATCTTGCTGGCGAAACTGATGAAATGAGGGTGGGTCTGGGTATGGCGTAGAGATATTTTTGGGCGTTGTAAGGAAAATTCCTTTTCCTTACTTCGCATCCCTCCTCAACGCGTACATCACTGTAGCACCACAGTCAGCACCGTTACCACTCGCAACCCTCGCATCGACAATCCGCCCGCCACCTTCGCACATCACACCCCGACCTCACGGCTCCGCGGGTAACCCGCGCTCCGGGCCTCCGCTTCGACACTTTTCCCAACCTCAGTCCCAGGCCCGTCGCGCGACAACCACAGTCCATTACCGTTACCACTGTAGTTTCGCTATATATTCTTCGCTCATGCCTGTCAAAGTAATAGGCTAAGTTGAAAGGAAGAGCCTAGGCTTAGTAGCCTAGGCCCGTACTTAGGTATCGAGCGGGTTTTGCCCTAGGCGAGGTGTCGAGTGAGTTGAGAGAGGAATTGGTGAAAAGGGATGGTTTCACTATAGGTTCAAGGGTACATATAGCATAGAAACCAAATAAGGTGCACCACCAACAACAGTTTAAATAACTACACTAACTACAACTACAAGCAGTTATAAAACATGACAATATATTTCGACAATGCCTTCGCTCATTGTACTCTTGCTTCGATAGTGCAGTTCTCGTTCGTTCACTCAATTGCACTCATAACACTTGGTATTCAGAGCCTACGATCTCCTCTCGGACCGCACCCACACCTTCGCTTCCCCACTATCTCAATTTTTGGGGGGGGTAGACGTCTCTCAGCGACACACCACCACCGCTCGTAGTGCTCTCTCGTAAGCATGCACGGCCACGACCGAGGCTCTCGCTGAGCTCGCCCGACACCCCCGCCATCGCCGAATTCACGCTCGCCACATTGACGCTGGAGCAGCTCGACCGTCTGGTGCGCCAACTTGAAGATTCGGCGCTCGAAATTGCGACGCTCACGGCGGAACGTGACTCCGCGCGTCAGCAATCAACAATGAACACTCCAGTGCCACCACACGCACCGACAAATGCATCTGCACAATCAGACGAGCCGATCGTCATCTCGTCCGGCACACCAACACAAAACAACAGTGTGGGACAGCGCTCAGGCGCAGCCAGCGATGGCGCCGCCCAGCCGATGCCTGGCATGGGAGGAAACAGGGTCGCACCAAGCCCGCGGGAGCCTCGCGAAGCCCGTCGGCGCGTGGAGTTCGCGACGACAAGTGGCGAACATGCCATTATGGCACCAATGCCACTCAAGCCGCAACGCCCACCCTGCTTCGACCCGAGCCAGCGTGGAGGTCCGACGGTTCAATCGTGGGTCTTCACGATGAACGTCTTCTTCAACGCGAATTACTTCGAGTCGGACGCAGCGAAGATTCGGTTGTGAAGAAACAGCGACGGGTCGGCAGTAGAAGGAGCAAACCCAAGAGCCGCAAGTGTAGTCCTTGTGGAGAATAGAGCGAGAATGAATGAACTATGAGTGAAGTGAGTACAAATAGCAAAACCCTAATTGGGTTGTACCCCCTATGGTATACCCCACTGTAGCCTACACAACAGCATAAGCTACATATATGTTCTGACACACCCCCATAGGCAAAGTGGGGGAGAACAAGGGGTCACAAGACCAGTCAAGCAAAGCAAAGCAAAGCTCAAGGTGGATCACAAAGTCACCACACAGTCCGAGCACAAGAGCAAGGCCACAAGGCCAGTTCACATGCAGGAGTACAAACAGATATATATATAAAGCTAGACAAGCAAGAGCAGGTATATATATGTGACAGTACAAGTAAAGTCAAGAGGAGAGCAAGTGAGGCAAGACAGGCACAAGACCCAGCTGGGTGCAGAAGCGCTGATGGTCACAAGGCACGAGTGCCTTGGTGAAGACATCAGCAGTGTTGGCCTCAGAGGCCACGTACGCAAGCCGCAACTGTCCACGCTGCTGTAGCTCACGAGCAAGGAAGTAGCGAAGAGCAATGTGCTTCGTTCTGTGCTCCAGACGCTGCTCTCGACACAAGGCCAGCATGGCCTTGTTGTCTACGTACAGCACTGGAGGAGAACGAGGCGGCTCTCCAAGGTCAGTCAGCAGGTAGGTGAGCCAACGAAGCTCCTGTGCAGCCATGGCCCCTGCGTAGATCTCAGCCTCACAACTCGAGCTGAGAACCGAAGACGAGCGAGTAGCCCGCCACGAGACAGAGCCGGAGCCAAGGCTGAAGGTGTAACCCTGTGACGACCGCTGCGTAGCCTGGTCGTCAGCCCAAGAAGCGTCCGCGTGACCTGTAAGTACCACTGGACTGCGCCCTCCAAGCACTAGCCCCATGCCCGACGTACTGCACAGGTAGCGCAATACCCTCTTCGCTGCAGCCATGTGCTCTGGTCGGTGTCTCCCAGGAGCAACATAGCGTGCAAGAATGCTAAGAGGGTATGCAAGGTCAGGTCGTGTGCAGGTCATCAGGTACATGAGGCAGCCAACAAGCTCTGGGTACGGGCCACTCGACTCTACGGACTCATCCAAAGGCAGAGCTGAGAGCGAGTGGCGAGTAGACAGAGGAGTGGCCTGAGGCGAGGAGTACGTGAAGCCGAAGCGCTGAAGGACCTGCTGCACCATGTGTGACTGAGTCAAGGTAATGGTGCGGCGTGCTCTGTCCCGAGTGATCTGCAAGCCAAGGTAGCTACGCAGTTCACCCAGGTCTGTGCACGTGTGTCTCTTCAGCAGCTCGGACTTCACGTAGGCGAGTCCAGCAGTGTCCGCTGTGGCAAAGACCAAGTCGTCGACGTACACGAGGATGTAGAACGGCGGCAGTGAAGTGTCGGTGCGCAGAAACAGCGACGGGTCAGCAGTAGAAGGAGCAAACCCAAGGGCCGCAAGTGTAGTCCTCAGTGTGTCGTGCCACTCACGTGGTGCCTGGCGGAGACCGTAGACTGGCCGTCGGAGGCTCCACTGGGTGCCAGGAGGGAAAGTCCCAGTGAAGCCAGGTGGACGGCGCAGCCAGATCTCCTCATGCAGGCTCCCCTGCAAGAACGCAGTACTGAAGTCGAGAGAGTGAAGCTCGTAGTCGCGCTGAGCGGCTATGTGCGGCAGCACCCGAAGAGTGGTCATCTTCGGGGTGGGAGAGAAGGTCTGAAAGTAGTCAACTCCCTGCCGCTGACTGAAGCCACGAGCGACGTACCGCGCCTTGAAGACAGGCGGAGAGCCCGGCGGCCGCTTCACCCTGAAGATCCACATGCCACTGACGATGTTCGCCCCAGGAGGGGGAACCGCGTCAACGTAGGTGCCTGTGGACTTCCAGGAAGCCATCTCTGCATCCATAGCTGCCTGCCACTGAGAGGAGTAGGGACCCTCTACGGCCTCCGCGTAAGAGCGCGGAGTCGGGATGTCTAGTGCATCCGGGTCTCCCTCAAGAGCAAGCAGTACAGACGCGAGATGAGGTGAAGCAGCGTCCAGACACTGGAACTCCTCCTGCCTGTCCTCTAGGACGTCCGTGCCAAGAGCACACTCACCCCCGACGGACGGAGGACAGACAGACACAGACTCAGCAACAAGACTAGCAGCGTAGCCTAGACGACAGCGAGCAGCAAAGTCGACGAGCTCAGCGACAAGAGCAGATGCAACAGCGGACTCAAAAGAGGGGTCAGTGACGACAGTAGCAAGCAGACGCGTGACAGTAGGACTGGCAGCACGAAGGGAGTCCGACTCTGGGTCGGTAAGCACAGGAAGGGAGGACTCAGGAGGAGAAGGCAAAAGGGCACGCAGAGGAGCAGTGGACGGACGCAGAGACATCTGGTGCGTGCCAGGGACAGGAGGAGGACGCGGACGCGAACCACGACCACTAGCGCGGGCAGCACGAACAGGCGACGCGGGACGAGACGCAGGCTCACGACGCTCAGCAAGACCTCCAGTAGGACCAGTGTAAGGAGAGGGAGCAGGCAGTGGGGAGGTAGGCTCCAACAGTGACTGCGACTGGACAGGCTGTGGACACTCTACCGGAGGAGAAAGACCAAGAACCTGCTGCAGAAGCGGAACGAAGTACGGCCGAGGCCGCGCGGCAGCTCCAGACTCAGCAGGGACAGCACCAGCACCCTCAGCGGCAGCACCAGCGCCACCAACACCTCCAGCGGCAGGACCTCCAGCAGCACCAGCAGCAGAACCACCGTCAGGACAGTCAGCAGCAGACTCTACACCAACGCCCTCAGCAGCCCCAGCTCCAGTAGGACCCGCAGGCGTAGCACCTCCGAGACCGGCGGCACCAGTACCCTCGACGGTCGAAGAAGCTCCAGCTCCAGCAGTACGCCTCCAGCGGCGAGCAAACCACTCGCGCAGCTCCTGTCAAGAGAGGGGCTCCCG